TTTGCTTTTTAGGTTTTACATGTCTCCTTGAAAGTTAATACTCGGAAATTACAGGGATATCCAAGTTAGTTATATCCTATACACTGTTTCAGACATGGACCATGAAAATATCTCGAAGGACTATCTACAGGAGCTTTTTGGTAGTTTTCCGTTTGGTGCTACCAATGGACACGAAATGCCAGATGATGATGGAGGCTATCAGATTTATGATGATAATTTTTCTGAGGATGAGGATTACTAATATGTCATCTTTTTTGTTTTATTTGATATTTTTTCAGTTTTATAGATTTGGCTCGAGCCTCAGGTCAGTTTTCATGAAGAACACGGCAAGTAGGCTTCGTGCTGCATCACAATGGTAATCAGGTTGTGAAGTGGAAGTTAGCAGATATGTTTTCTAATGAGTTAATTGATACAACTTACTACGCCAAATATAATATTAAATAAAAGCTTAATTGCAAATAAAATCATGACCTTTTTTAAAATTGCAATTATATGCATCATTTTTAAACTTGGCAAATATATCTACAACTTTTACAATTTTTTGCAATTGTATGCATCGGGCTCAATTTCGGGCTTTTATTGCCAACGTGGAGACATGACTGCTGATATGGCGTTGACATGGGAATAAAAAATAGGTTTAATTGCAAATAAAACCATGACCTTTTCGAAAATTGCAATTATATGCATCACTTTTGAACTTGACAAATATATAAAACTATGACCTTTTCGAAAAATAAAACAAGACTGGGATTCGTAAAACCATGACCTTTTCGAAAAATAAAACAAGATTGAGATTCGTAAAACCATGACATTTTCGTAAAATAAAACAAGATTGGGATTTGAATCTATGTCCTTGTGTTTTTAAATTGGCACTTTAAAACTTGGCAAATATATTCACAACTTTTGCAATTTTTTGCAATTGTTTGCATCGGGCCCAATTTCGGGCTTTTATTGTCGACGTGGAGACATGGCTGCTGATATGGCGCTGACATGGGGATAAAAAATAGGCTTAATTGCAAATAAAATTATGACCTTTTCGAAAATTGCAATTATATACATCACTTTTGAACTTAACAAATATATAAAACTATGACTTTTTCGAAAATAAAACAAGACTGGGATTCGTAAAATCATGACCTTTTCGAAAAATAAAAAAAGACTGGGATTCGTAAAACTATGACCTTTTCGAAAAATAAAATAAGACTGAGATTTGAACATATGCCCTTGTGGTTTTAAACTGGCACTTTTATACTTGGCAAATATATCCACAACTTTTACAATTTTTTGCAATTGTATGTATCGGACCCAATTTCGGGCTTTTATTGCCGACGTGGAGACATGGCTGTTGATATGGCACTGACATGGGGATAAAAAATAGGCATAATTGCAAATAAAACCATGACCTTTTCGAAAATTGCAATTATATGCATTACTTTTGAACTTGACAAATATATAAAACTATGACATTTTCGAAAATAAAACAAGACTGAGATTCGTAAATCATGACATTTTCAAAAAATAAAACAAGACTGGGATTCGTAAAACCATGACCTTTTCGAAAAATAAAACAAGACTGGGATTTGAACCTATGCCCTTGGGCGTCGTTTACTTTGATAGATAGGACAGGATAACTAAAATTGTCCCTCAATATCTGACGTTTACATTATGAGATTGGGATAGGATTCAACTGATGTGGCGTACATGTGGCAGTGGGACCCACATGCATATCATTTATTGGCGGATTAATTCATCCCACCTCTCCCACCGGATTTTTTAATCCCAATCTGAATATGACGGTTTTGTCCTCAAAAGTGGCTATCAAAAGACAAAATTACCCCTCAACATCTATTTATTTACAATCTTATACCATATAAATTTGTATTTCACTGTTTCTCTTGCCCTAATCTTGCAATTCCGCGAGCAGAGGGATCTTGCTATCTTCATCGTCGATTATTTGGCCAAGAATTGTAAGCTCCCATGTCCCAGCCCAAGGCCCAACCAGTGGCTGCAGTTATCCAACAAATTGATTTTCCGGCACCGTCGACGACAGACAGAGAGATGGTTGCGACTGGAAGCTGTAGAACCACCACTTTCTTCCTCCTCTCCGCCCCAAAACCACCGCCTCCGCCGCACAAATTCTCCCCGTCACCAAAGCATTTTCACCTCTGTTCTCACAGTCAATTTCCTCTCTCCACATCAGCCAACCCCAAATTTTTACTTGAAATGACTTTTGGAAAATTCTCTCTCGGCAGTGAAAATAAACAGAGGTGTCTTTGCAAGATTGGTAATGTTTATTTTGGAAATGTTTATTTCTTTGTTTTGGATGCTCTGATTTGGAAATGTTTAATCTTTAATTACTTGAAATGAGTTTTGGATGCTTTGCTTTTGATTATGAATCTTGGGTGTTGTGTTTCAGACTTTCTGTTGTTGAATGAGAGCAATATATTTTAATGGAGTGTTGCATTTTTTATGAATAGAACGGCAATTTGGACATCAGGTCTTATTTTCTAATTTAGTCCAACAAAGTAGTTTTTAATCCCAAAATGTAAATACAAGACAAATTGATGACGTGTAAAGTTGGCTGTATTATTTTGTCTAATCCTGTCCATGAAAGTAAATGAGGCCTTGTGGTTTTAAATTGGCACCATTACCACTACACCAATACAACTTGTATGTTTAATTCAATAGCATTTAATATATGTAGACATAACGTAATTATAAGCAAATTAAATTTAAAAGATAATGTAAATTATATTTAATAATATTAATAAGATATAAATTTATAATAATTATAATATAATAAAATAAATTGTATATATTAAATGAAAAAAATAAATTAAAATAAAGTAAGATAAAATTATTATAGTAGAGTGCATTAAAATTAAATTAAATTTAAACATATTTATCTATTTCTTATTTATTGAAATAAAACTAGTTTTATAAATTTGAAAATAAAAGATAATAATGATAAAATTAAATTTAAATATAAACTATATTAAAGTACACCAGTTAAAATAAAATAAAAATAATATAATATAAGATAATAAAGTATAAAAAATGAAAAAGTAAAATAAAAGATACAAACTAAATTATTTGAATAAATTATGACGCTTCCTCTAAATAGAGTGGTCTGGAGGAGTTGAAGATCATCGTTTTCTACTTCGATCTTCACCATACACAAGTTTCTTCATAGTTAAGCTTTCATGAAAATTTCCATGAAAGTTTCTTCACTATACATGAAAGTTTTCTACTTCGATCTTCACTATAGTTAAGCTTTCACTATACACAAGTTTCCATCAATAAATCTTCACTATACACAAGCTTCGATCTTCACTACTGATCAATTATTTTCCTGCTACTTTCTTCCACACCTTTGAAAGTTTCCTATATGAAAAGAGGCACGAGAGCTGCCCATTCCATCAATAAATATTTTCGGTTTTGGCACCCCAATACAATTTAAGATTTGTCTCTTTTCAATTTTTTCATTATTAACACGTTAAAATTTGTCAATAAACACTAAAATACTGCACAATTATAAGGTCATCGCTCGCGGTGACTCGTTAGCGAAAAACGCACGTCAATAAAATGGTGCTAGAGAAAGGATCTCCGTCATGCATCTGAAATGATTCACGGTGCCATTCGAATGAACCCTCGCCCAACACTCCTTACCTCGTTACTCTACTTGTATGGAAGGGAGGCAACACCGACCCTTTATAAAAAACCCTTCTTTTCTTCAAATCCGGGATCAGGAGGATCGATCCTCCATGTAATTTCCCTTTCCCCTATTACTTCGTCCAAATAAACACTCCCATACACTTTCCTTACGTAGAAAAACCCTATTTTTTACCTCGTTATAATGGCCGATATAAAGCTCAAAACCCTCCTCTCGAACCCTTGTTAGTTCACCTTCGACAAGAATGTCGGTAGGTTAGTTCACCCTCGACAAGAACGTTGTTTAGGGATGAATAACTGATCCAAAAATAAAACAACTAATTTATAGTCGAGCAATCAGAATGTAGATCTCGGGAATTTCACTTTTGATAGCTTCTTTACAGTTCTACCTTCAGATCACTAACCTTATTGTTCCGGACTTCCCCACACCTTCTAGCGAACCGCGATCTTATTCTTGATCTTTATTGTCTAAAGGTCAAACCACCTCCTAGGACCAAGAGCTGGGGGCCCAATGGGTAGATGCACCACCAGAAAATCTCCACCAGAAAATCTCCATTATCAACGCCAAATGACCGCACGTCGCAACGCGGCAAAATTAATATTTATATTTTTCCTCAACTAACCCCTACTAACTAGTAGTAGTGACGAACAAGGGTCGATCCCACAAGGAGTGTGAATCAAATCGTGAATCTTATCGTATTAATTAAAATTATAAAAGCGATAAAATGGGGGGATTGAATTTAATAACTAAATTAACTAAAATCCTAATAAAGCAAATAATATCTAAACAATGAAAATAAAAATAAAAAATAAATAAATAAATTAAGAGAAAANACAACCACAAACATACATCTAGAAAACAACCCGAACATACAGCTCAAACGCAGAATCTAGTGAGATGACAGATCTAGAGGATCGCCTAAAACCAACACAAAAATAAAATCACCCACGAACAACACAAAAAAACTAACAAACTCTACAAAAGGAGAAAGAATTCCCCTACGGAGAGAGAAAACACACAAAACACAAAAAACACGAACCTAACAAAAACAAACTAAAACTAAACTAAAGCTAACGCCCTCCCCACTAGTCGGGAAATCCCAGCACCAACTCAACCAAGCAAACATCCAAACACGAAAATCGATCGGAGGCCACTAGAATGACGACCCAGCCTAACAAGACCCGAACCGCAAAACCGACAGCCCCCAGATCTTCGTAAACCCACCCAGGCTGGCCCACACCACAACCCCCAACGCATACGCTGGAGCCGCCACGCAACCACATAGCCACCGCCGGAGGACCGTACCGTCTCCACACCAGGGACGACCGGAATAGAGGGAACTGAGGCAAGGCCATCACCACAGACAACCGCAAGGCTCATAACCGAGTGGGACCACTATGGGATGGAGAAGTATGGGGCCACCACTGCCGCTCCGCCGAGCCTAGGGCGAGCCGGAAGCTCGCCAGGGGAGGCACTCCGATGAAGATAATCGGCTAGGGCACGCGAGGAAAATTTGGGGGAAAAGAAGAGGAAGGGATTTTTTTTTTATTATTATTATATCAATATCCAAGCAACCCCTCATTGTGTATATGAAGGAGAGTGCATATACCCGCCAAGGTTGACTTTTAAACAATATATAAACCAATTTAAATATAGTAACAACCTTCGTCAGTTTTTCCAACACTCAATGAGACCATATTAAGGATTCTATCATAGCTAGTGGTGAGCAAAACTGAGTGAAAATTGAAAAATCGTGTCAAACCATGCAATTTGGTGAGGTTAAGTTCCCTTTTTTAATGTGAAAATTTTTTAGTTCAGTTTCGATTAAGTTTTTTCCTACATTGCAGTGCGATGTAGTTATAGTTCTTTATAAGTTTGGGTTTCGATTTTGTTCGATTCGATAAGATTTTGCACTAAATGCATAGAAAAATCATGATAAAACCAAAAATGGAATTGAACGGTCCACGTTGTGGCATTTGGGAGTGCAATGAAAAATAAAAAAAGGAGTGACTAATTTTAAAATTGAAAAGAGATTTAAGAATTTATTTTAAAAAAAAAAACCCTAAAATGGATACAAAACTAATTTTTATTACACGTTGTACCTTTCTCTACCCCAAGACTCAAAAGCCGCAGCATATAAAGCAAGATACAAAATTTGGATGGAAGAAAAAGAAGGGCACGCCACAACAAAGTAGAATGTAACACCAAAGACAACACCACCACCACACAAAACGCAGTAGATAAACTAAAGGAGGAAAAGTTACTGGAAACACACAAATCTCTTTTTTGCTTTCCGAAAAGAAAAGGAAAAAGAAAAAGAAAGAGAAGCAAGAAACCCCACACATTTGTTGCAGGCTCCTTTTTCAGTACACAACACACGCATACGCAGAACACACTTTTCCTTTTCCTTTTCTCTTTTTCTTTTTCTTTTTCTCTCGCTAATGTTAATTGTTCTGCATATATTCTCTATTCCCCACATTCAAAAAAGCAGAGACACGGGCCAGGGGAGATATAAACAAAAGCGATTCTAAAAGTAATCAATTAAAGTGAACAATGGTTTGAATACAGATACCAAACCAAACTCACTCTGTGAAAATGTGTAGAGAGAAAGAGAAACATATTTCTAAGAACCACCTCATGATTTTTATGAATCAAATGTGAGTCGCACACACAAAACTTCCAACATGATCGTGTCTCACTTCTGTTTATCTCGTCTCCTTCTTCTTGCATTTTTCTTCTCTTTGCCCGTATTTTCGTTTGTGTTCGGAAATCCTGAAGGTACTTTATTATTATTTTTTGATTGGTGGTGTTGTAACTTGTAAATTCCTCTTGCTAGTGAAAAGTACTTATGTAACAGAGATTTCTTTTTTCTTTTTTCTTTTTTTTTTTTTCTGTTTGAAGCTCTTATTGCTTTAAAACAAGGGTTGAATGATCCTCATGGAGCTTTGAGCAACTGGGATGAAGACTCTGCAGATCCTTGTAGCTGGTCTATGATCACTTGCAATTCTGACAGTCTTGTTACTTCCCTGTTAGTCTTTTCCCTCCTCCTAACTTCTATTTAAATTACTAATGTTGTAAGCTTGTATAATATTCGAATTTCACTTTGCAAAAATTTCAAAAAGAACATGTTAATTATGACCTATTTTTAAGTATATATATTTTCTCTACTTATGATTAAGCAGGGGAGCTCCTAGTCAGGGTTTATCAGGTTCTTTGTCTTGGATGATTGCTAACCTTACCAACCTCAAACAAGTGTAAGGAAACTGTGCTTTTTATTTCTTTTTTTTTTTTCAACATATATTTTTTAGAAGGCCATTTTTATTTGTTGAGTAATTTTATTTAATGTAGATTGCTACAAAATAATAATATTTCTGGGCACATCCCCAAAGAATTGGGTTATCTTCCAAACCTTCAGACATTAGATATCTCTAACAACAAGTTGTCTGGCCATGTCCCTGAGTCCTTGGGGTTCTTGAAGCGCCTTCAGTATCTGTGAGTCGATTTTGCAGTTTTTTTTTTCAACTTATTTCTGGAAAAGCCTAAAATGTCTACTGGTTTGAGTTTTTATAAATTATAAATACTGTTTGTTATTGTAATTTGTGTTGTAATGGAAGCAGGAGGTTAAACAATAATAGCTTGAGTGGAGTTGTTCCTCTGTCTTTAGCCACTCTACCTCAACTTACTTTCTTGTGAGTGACTGTTCTCACCATTCTATCTCTTTTATTATTATTTTTATTAAATTTATTTTTTTTGTTCCAGTGTTTGATTGGCAGTTAAGTGTATTTTGCACTAAACTTAATAAATTATGTGATTGCCTGTGTATTTTTCCACTTTGGCACAAAGAAGAACCTTACACATTGTGTCAACATATTGACTCGTATTCGGTCAAAGTGTAGCAAACTTTACGGCTGAGGAGGCCAAATAGAAACAAGAAAAAATAGAGGGTCTTGAAGGCAAAGTACTGCATAGATTAGGGGGTTGAGTGTAATTAATTCACCCCTTGAATAAGTTTCAGGTTTGTGTTTTTGACATGTGCATTAATTTTGGGTTCCTTTTTCTTTTTTCTTTTGTAATGTTGCAGGGATTTGTCCTACAACAATCTCAATGGACCTGTTCCCACTTTTCCCACCAAAACATTTAAGTATGTCTATCTCAATATTGTCATCTTAGCTTTGCAGGAAATTTGTTTTGCTTTGTTCAAAGAAGACAATCATGTGTAACAAACTCTTGATTTGTTATGGTTTGTTTTCATTTGAATGAACATCTCTTCTTCTTTTTAATTGATTCTTGCAGCATTATGGGGAACCCTCTTATTTGTGGACAACACTCTAATGAAAGATGTTCTGGAATAAACACAGCTAGTCCTCTGGCTTTCTCCTTAAATCCATCTTCTCGTAAGTAATTAACTGAGTCATTCTCCTTCTTTTCCTAATTAATATGAAGTTGCAATATATATCTGTTAATTCCCCTCATTTTTTTTTTCTGTCATTATTCAGACAGAACAAACTCCAAGAAACTAGCCGTTGCACTCGGAGTCTGCCTCAGTTTCATCATCATTTTAGTCATACTCTTAGGATACCTCTTTTGGCGAAAAACCAGAAAAATCAAGCAATCCATTCTTAACAGCACTGGTAGATTTTATCACTTTTTAAGTATTAGAAACTAAATGAATACATTTCTCTCTCTCTCTCTCTCTCTCTCTCTTTTTTTTTT